CCTGAGACAAAAACTCTAACACTGTCGCACTGGTCTTCTTTAAAGCTTTAAAAGAGGTCTCAACAACATCACATACTGTGCTCAGATTTTTCTCCTACACTAGAGACTCGAGAGCGCTCACATTTGTCTCCTTTAAATTTCAGAAGTGATCACAATAACTTTACAAAGTGTGCACTAAGTCAAATGCCTCACTATGAGCTCAAACATTGCTTCCATATAATATGTATTAATAATCAAATTAGTCAATTAATAATCAAGACTGAGTCATAAGCCATTTATGTGCCTTTCAGCAAAGAAAGCTCAGTTTTGATTAAGGCATCCGGTACATTAATATTTCCAACAACAAATTATGTGCCTAAGTACATAAACATTGACCTATAAAAAGTAACATTATCCTTATTTCTGCATAATTTCTCTCTCAATATAGCCTGTAACTCTGAATTTATGATTTTCCCCCTTTATTTAGTGCCTTTTAAGTACTTGACTTGATGCACACTTTGTAAAGTTGTTGAGATCTCTTCTAAAGCTTTACAGGAGACAAATATGAGACCCCCAGAGTCTCTAGCTAAGGAGAATAATCTGAGCACAGTGTGTGATGTTGTTGTCTCAGGAGACAAGTTTGAGAAGCAGGTGACTCAAGCAAAAATCTCCATTCGATCTTAAAGTAAACTCATTTCTGTCTTGGATAAATATTTGAGGTGTTAAAGAGATCACACTTTTGATTTTTCTTTCCTATGGGTCCTTTTAATGCGCTCCAGTTGTCAAACATTACATTTGTGATACAACTGCAAAATTTATTTTAAACATTTGTTTAATTAACTTAAAAAAGTTACTAAAAACAAGTTAAACAAAATGTTTGCAAACAAACATTTACAAATATTACTACTGTTCACAATTACATCTTTAAAATGAGGCAGAAGTCAGAAAAAATAAATGAACCAGATGTTACAGTTCAGCTGAACTGAGTCCAGTAAACTCCAGTCACTGTATTTACATAGTGCTTTTTACACTACAGATTGTGTCAAAGCAGCTTTACAGTATTAAACAAAAAAATCATGTGTCGAAGGAACCAAAACTAAATTTTTCTTCTCTGGCCAGACGAAACCAGCAGTTTAATTGCAGGCTGCAGCAAAGTCAGATTGTGCAGAGGACTGGTCTGGTTCCTATGGTCTTAGTGTTGAAAGTACACACACACACACACACACACTATGTAGTTGCAGTGGAGCGGTCTGGTCACATGGCAGTGTTTGGTGCCCCTTCACTACCTAGGGAACTGACTGAGACGTACCCTGCTTTGAAACGGCCTTGTGAAAGGATTCAGTTGTTTATTCTCATTCAGAATGACGAACTCCTTCCAAAGTGCCATTCACGAGAACAGAAACGCCATTTGGAGTTTAGCTCGTTTGAAGAAAAAAAAAGCGAGATTTCAGCAAGGCTGGTTGTTAGTCACGTTTAATGTTGTCTTTTAACTTCACGGTACAATTGCAAAAGTTTGCACACGCAAAAACCCATTCAACATGCCCACATTTCGTTTACATTACACGTTTCGTCGTATTAAGCATCAATGGCTTATAAAAGAGAAAGACCGCGCAATCAATTCATGCCATCTTTTCACTTCACGGAAACACAAAAATATCATACAACATGCCAAAATTAAACCTAAAATTCATTATAGTAACACAGTTTTGACATTAAGTGTTTTATGGATTAAACAAGAAGAAAAACCACGTTCCCTTAACTTAAACAGCTAATTTCCCTCAGACATATTCATAAAACGCGTATTCAATGTTTCTATATATGTTGTACGTTTGTGTATAAATATAAGTTTTAAATAATACGTTTACACCTTTTTTAATATACAAGTTTTGATAAATTCAGTCTAAGTAATGTTACAAATATTTATTCAGTGCCACTTAACTTACCTGACGCATTAACTTTACATACACATAAATATAAATTTTTCTTCGGACATGCAACTTATAAAACACTTCTAAATATCCACTCAAAAACATCGGATATGCTGTACGTTTTTGTCGATAAATTTAGTCTAAAAAATAACATTTATTTAGTGGCACTTACCTGACACGTGAACTTGACAAGATGGCGGCGCTGTTGCTCCCACGAAGTCACTCAGGCTCGTGCATGTGTTGGCTGGATTTGTTTTTATTAGTTTTGTTAACATTTAGCATTCTGAATGTTGATTTGGATTTGAAAATAATCATTCATTCAATGTTTTTAAAATATATTTGTGTAGACTTAATATAATATGTCTTCTCAACTAAGCCCAAGCAAGAAAATTAGCTCAACTTAAATATGTTTGCCCTTCCAACATTTTGTTAATTGGATTTTTTACAGTGTGGCATTCATGTGCGTTTAGCTTGTAAACACAATATTGCCAACATGACTTGAACGCACCAATAGAGAATTAGTACGGACTTCTTTTGGTGCTTGATTACTTTATTAATAATTTTGTGTTTCAATAATGAGGTCAAGAATACTCTGTAAATTACTTAAATGTAAAATGTTTTTCTATATTTAACAACATTAACTTACAGTAATGAAATAGTTCCAGCCGGCAGAGGATTCTGCTTGGTTTTAAAGCATTCCTCGAATGGCTAATGTTAGCAAATTAAACACTGATGTCCAAAAGAATGATTAATTATCCATTTAGAGTTTGTTATTCATATGGTCTTGGTCAGTGGTTCTCAAACTTTTTGCAGTCACGTACCCCCCAGGCATTTAACGTCCTTCTGCATACCCCCTTTTTCACACTCAAGCAGCTACTTTCCATTGAAAATAGTTGGCAATGCTGCTTCCATTCATAACTATACATAAGTGTGTTGGACTTGAAGCGACGTTGCACAGACCAATTGGTGTCTGACTTGAAGCAGTACATGCTGCTTGGTATTTTTGTCTGACTTGAGACAGCGGAGATATATTGCAACCGGCAAACCATGCGGAACCAATTTTCTTGTGGTTTTGGCGATCGCACCCAGTCTATTCATACAAAATCCAGCACACTAAGCTGCAGCAGCCACATGCATAAGCCGTCAGGTAACACTTAGATTTCCTTTCCCACATGCACCATCACTTCCGTTTTACTCCTTATATATCTTTTTCCGTTTTCCATAATTCCGCCTAATTGTGGGTAAGGTACAAGAACCGGCACAGACTTTTTCCTGTATTGCCACACTAACGCCACATGACTGTGATGTATGCCATCAAAGTGTATACAAACCACGCGGTATTAAAGAGACAGCTCGCACAATGTAATTAACATCAAAATAAATTCACAAGAGCAAGTATATTGTTTGCACATGTTTATTTACATTAAAGGCAAAATAACTGAAATAATAAGAGCTCAAGTATAGATCTGGAAATTATTTAAGTCTGTCTACATATCATTTAGTAATTGCAATGTCTTCTGGTCCATATCCTTTTCTTAGGAAGGTGTGCTAGACACTGATTAATGTAACATAAAAATACTATTGTCACACCCCTGTGGACTGTTGATTGTGGTTTCTCCCTCTGTGTCCTTATTTGGTTGTTCCTATTCTCGTTATTAGTTAATCACCTCATTGTGCTCACCTGTCTGCCCCTCGTTATCTGCCCTATCTGTGTTCCTGTCTCTTGTATTCGAGTTTGTCGGTTATTGTGAATGTTGATGTCTACCCTGTCTGAATTCCCTGTTGTCTAGTCATTAAATATCCGTTTATTCGTCATCTTCGTCTTCCTGCCTGGTCTCTGGAACACCCTGCCCGTGACAACTATATGCCTACATATTTATATATTTTGCTATTGTATTGTGGAGTGACACTTTCATAAACTTTTCTATACTCCTCTGATAATATAATGGTAAATATTACAATAACATAGCACAACACAATAAGCCTAATACTCACAATAAAAATAATAAGGTCATATAGATCATAACACAGTCTCGGAGGTAAAAAGTGGATTATCCTTCACCTGAAATGTTTGTCTTTTCATCCTGAAATGCGAGGCAAATGTTGGATCACAATAATTAGGAACCACAGTTTCCACAAATCCCTTCACTCTATTGGGATGCTCTCTTTTATTCTGGATGGCAAGGACAGTGACTGTACCATCGAGCATATTTTGCAGTATTAAACAGGTATTTATACTGATTTCATCAGGCTTCAAAAATTCTTCAAAAAGAACACAAAGAATGGCCTTCTCCGCTGCCATAGCTGCAAGTCCTGCGTCATCAGAACAGGGTGTTCAACGCACCACCGTTTCCGTTTAAAACACGTTTTGCACCGTTTTGTCGGGGCTGAACGCAGGCCAGATGATGGCACAGCTACACGACACGGCTACTTGATTGGCCAGATTAACACACGACAACGTTCACGCGGGTTTCTTCTTCATTCTGGGACATTCAGCTGATGCTTTTTATACTGTTATTTTTACTATTACTTTTCATTTAACCATAATTAAGTTATTTTGTGTCATGTTTATCAAAATAAAACTGATAAAAACTATATAAACCCACTTGTGATCAACGTTTGCATAACTAATTGGGTTGGGAAATGTGGCTATTAACATATTAACATTTTAATTATATTCTGCTGAAATGAACAAAATGACTTGGAAAAAAGATTAGTTCATTTTCCTGAACGAGATTCAAAGATCCAAGTCAGTAAAATAATGAATCTAATGGATATTAGGGTGAATATTTGCTAGTTTTTAAAATGCCTGATTTCACATTATTTTGCTGGATATACACATTTTTAGTTCAAGGGTTCCAGTAATTATGCACATAAATATTAACAGGTAATGATATTCTCAATGTCAGTAACTCTAATTGCATCAGTAAATCGTGATTGGTGGTGGGTTTTCACTGCAAAACAACAACAACAAAAAATGGCCCAATTTTTGAAAATGGCTGCAGCATTTTCATGTTGTGCCTCAAGAATAATGCATTGATAATACACTTGACATTATATTTACATTCATACTCCATATTATCTCTTTCAGATATGTCAGCAGGTCCAGATGATCCAGTGATCCGGATTCTTCTGATGGGCAGAAAGGGTTCTGGGAAAAGCTCATCTGGAAACACGATACTGGGAGAAAGAAAGTTTAAAGTTAAAAAGAAGCATGAGTGTGAAGTTTGTAAAGAAGTAACCCAGATTGGAGAGAAGCAGGTGCATGTGATTGATTGTCCAGACCTACTGGTTCCAGATCTGAATAAAGACAAGCTGGAGAAACTGAAAGAGCAGCTGGTCTCTCAATGTTCAGCAGGTCTCAGTTCAGTTCTGATCACAGTTCCTTTAGAGGAACATGTGGAAAAAGAGGAAGAGATCCTGGATTATATTAAGTGTTTATTAGGTCCTGAAGTTCAGAAGTACATCATGATTCTGTTCACACATGGAGATGATCTGGAGGAGCTGGAGGAGACCATTGATGAACATCTACAAAACCATGAAGATCTTCAGCGACTGGTGACTGAATGTGGAGGAAAGTTTCACTGTTTCGAAAACAAGAGTAAATCACAAGATCAGGTACAAGAACTACTGCAGAAGATTGAAGGAACGATGATGGAGAATGGAGGGAAGTTTACCATGGAACAAATGAGGAGGAGTGACAGCAAGAACACTATTGTCAATTGTAAGTTGCTCTTTTGGTGTAAGTTATTTAAGTAATACATAAGTTGGGCCACAGGTGTCAAACTTTAGACCTAGAAAGCTACATATTATTCTTTCACAGATATATTTACACAGATACACACATATTTCCATTAGCCCATGAGTTAATCTCTTAATCCTACAAACAAGTGTTTTCCTTGTGAATATTAATGTGTACAATCGCACTGGTGTGAAAACCTTATTCATGGTGTAACATATTCATACAGCTTTGGTCAGAGAGACCGAGGGGCTGTTCAGTGTTTTCAACCATGTCATGTTTATTTTATGTCTTAGACATGTAATTACACAGATCTACTAGCCAAAAATATTTACTTAGTAAAATGTCTAATAATAATGGAGAAAATAACCCTAAGGAAAACAGAAATATAACTGAAACACAACTCAGGGCAAAGTGTCACATGATTAAGTAAAGTAAAGAAGCATTTCGATATTAGTATTTCGACTTTATTCTCGTAGTATTTCGACTTTATTCTCGTAATATTTCGACTTTATTCTTGTAGTATTTCGACTTTATTCTTGTAGTTTTTCGACTTTATTCTCGTAATATTTCAACTTTATTCTCGTAGTATTGCGACTTTATTCTCAAAACATTTCGACTTTATTCTCGTAGTATTTCGACTTTATTCTCGTAGTATTTCGACTTTATTCTCGTAGTATTTCGACTTTATTCTCAAAACATTTCGACTTTATTCTCGTAATATTTCGACTTTATTCTCGTAATATTTCTACTTTATTCTCGTAGTATTTCGACTTTATTCTCGTAATATTTCGACTTTTGTTCTCGTAGTATTTCGACTTTATTCTAGTATTTCGACTTTATTCTCTTAGTATTTCGACTTTATTCTC